GGGGGCCGTGGGAGGAATCGCCCTAAATCCCTGACACCCCCCAACTCCCGCCGGGTCCTGCTGCAGGGCACGACCCTTCTCCACCCGAATGGCTGTGCTTGGGCATCGTGGGGAGGAGGGCTGGGGTCCCCAGCCACTGTGGGGGTGTCTCTCCCCTGGTTGAACTGGGGAGCAAATAAACTTGAGGTCCTGGCTTAGCTCACCCTAGGGACTTGCTGTCCCTCCTGGGCAAGAAGCATGGAGGTTGAGCTGAGAAGGTGACAAGCCCAAGCTCTCGTCTGCTCCTCTCCCAGGTGTCTCTGCAAGACACCCAGGAGGTGGGAAGCAATTGGGATGCTGAACGTGGCTGATGTGGATGCAGGAATGGGGACCAATGCTCCCCTGCTAAACTCTACTCAGCAGCCGCAGCGGGCACAGAGCCCACCTGGAGAACTGCTGCATGCCCTGTCCCAGCTCTGCAGCGCCTGGGTGGCCGATGGCTGTCACCTCTGTGGCTTGTGCCTGGGGGTGAGCAGAGTGCGGAGCCCACCGTGAGCTCACTGCAGGAACGAGAAGACTTCATGAGCAGTGCTGGGTTTGCTGCCACAGGCTCAGCCTGGTCACAAAGGCAAGGGACGTGTGGGAGTGAGGGGATCCCAAACACCTTCCCAGGGGCTGTGGGAGGTGATGGACAGGAGGATGCTTTGTGTGCCCAGTGGGTGAGGAGCACCCAGCCTGGCTCCAGGGCACGGGATGTGCCCAGGGCTCTGCATGGGGCCTTTTTGGCCGTAAGCTGAGTGTGGGGGGCTGTGGTGGGGAGCTGCAGCCTGCATGAATCCTGTGCATAGGGACCCCTTCTGCTTTTGACTTTGGGAAAGTTTCGTTTGACACCTCAGTTCCGTCTGGTTTTCAACCCATCTGTGCCTGTTTCTTGCGTAGGAATATGCCCTGGGGTGCGCAGAGCTGTGGGGAAGTTCTGGGTAGCACATGAGTGGCTCTCTGCCTCCTGCTGCACCCTAAATGGTGCGTGGAGCATTGCCCACCCCTGCACCCTGTCGCCATCAGGCTGTCCCACCTAAACTCTCCCCTATTGCAGCTCCCAGCTGTGAAAAGATGGAGCTGGGATGGAGGGACATGTCCCGTAGCATCCTGCCTCCCTTCTCCCAGCTTGTGTCTTTTGACCACTTCCCACTGGATTTGGGTGAAACATGGTGAGCCCTGTGTGACCTGGGGTGCAGCTCTTGCTAGGACCTTGCTGGCTGCCCTGCTTTGACCTTTCTGTGGACAGCCATGTGCATCCCTGGACCTTCCCTAGAGTGTTCCTCCTCTGTCCTAGGTGTCCCGTCACCTTGTGCGGCCCCTGATTCGAATGTGCCTGGCGCTGCAGTGCCAGGCGCAAGAGCTGACCTCCCTCCTGCTCCAGAAGGATGCTGAGATCGAGGACTACAGGGAGAGCGGGGCCACTCTCAGCAGAGGTGAGGAGGAATGCCTGGTGCTGAGAGAGAAGTGAGCAGGGAACGAATTTCCTCCTTAGCACGGGGCTGGCATGCTCTGCTGCCTCTGGCTATCACCCAGACAAGTTTCATGTTCAGCCACTCTGGCAGCAAGACGGTAGCCAGAAGGCTGGGGAGCAGTCCCTGGGGAGAACTGAGGAAGGAGCAGCCCTTGACTGGTAGCCGGAGGAGTTGGGGAGTCGCCAAGGGGTTCTCCGCTTCGTCGAGAGCACCTGGCTGCTTCCCAGGAGCTGGCGGGGATGCCAGCGAGAGCCGGCCCTGGAGTGATGTCAGGCTCCCTTCCCATGTACGGTAGCTCATTGGATGCTTGGAGAGCAACCAGGGGCTCCTGGCTTTCCCCACCCTGGGAAGCACAGCCGTGTGCCTGAGCTCCAGCACCCACGCTGCCTCACCATCAGGGGGACGGGTGGGAGGGAGTCCCTCGGGTAGGACATGGGTCAGGACCTGCCTGGGGGAGCCACCCGGGGATTTGTCCTTTGCCCATGGAGGTTGGCTGGGCACTACTTTTTGGGATTGTCCCTTGCTAGTGCAGTGCTCTGTCCTGCTGCAAGAGGTGAGCCTTGCTGCCCTGGGATGTGGGGTCTGATAGGGGTCAGCCCTGATTTGCGCATCATGACCAGGAGGGTGATGTGTCCCACAGCAGGTACCACACTTCAGAAGCCTGGATCTGTCCTGCAGCTGCACTAGTGCTGTGCCAGCTGGCCATGCTCTCCTCTCTTCTGCTGCACCTTAGCTCTGCAGAGCTTGGAAGAGCCAGGATAACTCGGTTTGGGTCCAGGGACTGATGCTGGTGCGCAGGCAGCCCCTCTTGCCCTTTGCCTGAGCAGGGCAGGAAGCTGGGAGGAAGCTTTGCACCAGTGCTGCTGAGTGAAGCTGGCCAGGCACATCTCCAGACAACACCTAATGCTAAATGATGCAGAAAAAATAGTGCTTTGAAGGAGGCACAGAGAAAAATGAGGGATGAGAGGGGTTTGTCCCTGTCCTGCAAAAGGACATCCCTCCAGAAAAGCAGCTGGAGACAAGCAGTCCCCTGTCCCATGGTGTGTGACTGAGTGGTGCTCAGACCCAGGCAGCTCTTTCAAGCTGGGAATGGTGCTGAGCATGTCCTGCTGCTGTCCCCTGCTCCTCACTGTCAAAGGCTGCTGGGACAAGTGTGAGTGAGCTCTGAGTTCTGCCGTCTGGCTGCTGTGCATCAACAGGCTCAACCCTATTCCCCCTCTCCCCTGTGGTACTTGCACCTTCTGCTAACCGGTGATGTGTCCCTAGCCCAAGAGGCCCGCAGGACTCTCCCGCTGGCTCTGGGATGAGCTGGAGCTGTTTCCCTGCAGCCCCCTCACCTCACAGGCAGGTGAAAGGGAAGCCCGGGTGGGAGGTCTGGCCAGTGCTGCCCAGACTGATCTGTGCTCTCCCTTGCAGACCGCCTGCGGACAGAGCCCTTTAAGAAGGAGATGTTTCAACAGAACTTCATGGCTGAGGTAAGGAATTGTGCAAGTCCTTCCTCCTTCAGCAAAGGGATAGTGGGGAGCACCGAGTTTTGTCACCCTGTCACCACTGCCTGGCTGCTGGGAGTTGCTGGGGCTGTCTGCTCAGCGGGTGTGTGCCATGGCTGGGGCATCCTCACCTGCCTCCCGCATTTGCTGTGGACCTGAAATACCAATGCTGATGGCAGGCAGGGAGCAGGTGAATGAGGAGAAACCAGCTTGATTCATCTGCTGCTTTTTGGGGTGGTTTTGCAGTGGTGCACTGTGGGGACAAGTGTCTTGCAGCCTTTTATCTGTGCTGTCCCCACCACTCTTCCCTCGGCATGCTTGGCTCTAAAATCAGACATGTGCTTTGTAGAAACTGGGGCTGGAAGGAGAGAGTCTTTTCTCCTTTTTCATTACTGGAGATAATCACAGAAGCACTAAAATGATTCATGCAGTGTGGCAAGATCAGAAATGATTGATGCCCGTCGGAGTATAAAGGTTCAAGATGCTTCTGAATGTTCCTGCGCTCACTGCAGAGGTGCAGGAGTGGGGAGCAGCAGTGTCTGCTGGGGACTAGGGAGTCAGCCGGGGTGTCCACGTTGTCACACGGGCTTCGAGGAGACATAGCTTTGTGAGACACATGCTGACGCTCTTGCACTGCCAGCAACAGAACATCTGCAGTGTTTCTAAAAATGAGAGATGATCCCTCTTTTATATGAGAGGCACTGCATCCAGCACAGGCAACTTTCATCTCCCCCTGGTATGATGGATAGAGATGAATTCACTGCTAGACTGCAACTTGGAGGTTGCCTAGGGACCGATGATCATGACCAGATTACATTCACCCTGGGCAAAGAAAGGACATTCCTAAACAGTAATTTATATCCTTCATGCTTTGAAAGGGCCAATTTCCCAAAGCAGGGGGAAAATTATGAGTAAAATCAGCTCGGAGGAAACATTTAGATAGAAAAATGTGAATGAAAATGGTGAGCTCTTTCAGAAGGATTTCAGAAGCCACAAAAAGCCACAATTCCACAATCAAGAAAGAGGGCAGTGCTGGCCGAGAGCCCGTTCTGGTTCAGTGGCAAAGTGAAGGCAGCAATTAGAAATAAAAGAGCAGTTTATAACAAATGGGAGAGCAGGAGTAGATAGCAATCAATATAAATTAGAAATTATGAAGTGTAGAAAATGGGTAACAGAAGCTAAAGACATCAGGGAAAAATCATGGTGAAGAACAGAAGGAAAGGCTTTTATTTAGTGCAGCAGGAGAAAACCCCAAGCTCCCAGCAATGGGATAAGCTTATTAGTAGGCAGAGGTGGTAAAATGATTGATACTGGAGCAGACATGGCAGAAGCAGTCGGTAAATGTTTCGTTGCTATCTCTGGAAGGATGGAGACCGATGTGCCAGGATCAGGGGATGATGGAGTGTGTCTTTGTCCAAGGGTCAGCTGAACAGCATCTGCTAAAGATGAATGTCAGGCTTGAAACTCAGAGTCCTCCAAGAGCTGGTAGGGTGTGGGGCGTGGGGAAAGGTGCTTGGTGGTGCAGGGTGGGCAGGAGGGGAGTGATGCAGCCCTGCGCAGAGCCTTGCAGAAGCTCGTGGGGGGCTCATCTGGCAGAGACTTAGAAGATACGAGGGCAGTTGGTGCTGTGTGTCAGGGGAACGCCCCAGGAGCAGCGTCTTGGGGCTGGAGCACTGGACAGGGAACCAGGAGGGTTTGAGAGATGCTCCTGTGGCAACCAGGTCGGGGGGAGAGGCTGGTAGAGGGATGCCATTGTGTGTTCAATCTGCCTGTGGTGATCTGTGCTCTCTGCTTCCATCCCATTGCTTTATAAACCCACTGGTGATGATTTTGGCCCAGCACCATCCTGTGGCAATGAGCCGTGAGGTGCAAGCAGCTGCTGCTGTTGGTTTGAATGTGGTACCCCGTTGTTCTGCCTGATGCCTCCTAGGTCTTGTGTTAGTGTGGAACACCAAATACAGCTTTGCACCACCAGATCTGCCTGTTCACCTCAGTCTCCCCTCTCTTCCTGGTATTTCAGAGCCCCCTGGCTATTTTATACTCCATTTGCAAGCTCCAAAATGGAGCAGCAAGAGGGACTGGGGTCCCGCGGGACATGGCGCAGGAGGCTGGGAATGCTGCGACCGACTCCCGTGTCTGGTGTTTCAAAAAGATGCCAGACAATCAGTGCGGAGTCGCAGGAACGAATTGAAAGCTGGGGAACGAGCCCGGCATTGAGAGGCTTGGAAGGGAAGAGCTCTGTCAAGCTTATCAGGGAGAAAATGGAGAGGTGCCTTGATTACAGTCCGTGAGGGTCTTTACAAGGAGAAAATGCTGGTTATTGAAGGGCGCTCTTTAATCTCATGGAGAGCAGCAGAACATGAGCCAGGCTTGGAGAGCCAGAGCCAGGCAATTTGGAGCTCGGACAGAGGCGCTTGGTTTTGCTCCTGTGGGTGATTAGCGATAGGGGCATGCTCCCAAGGGCAGTGGTTGATCTTCCAGCTCTTGATGTCTCCACAAGTGGGCTGGGAGCCCGCCTGGAAGAAAACCAAGTTGCCGGGCTTGGTCTCGGGATGTGCATGGTTGAACGTTAGTGGGTAGAATTTCAGGAGGAGAGGTCTCGTGGTCATTCCAACCTCCCCCTCTGTGAAACGGGGCTTCAGGTTATGGATGTTTGGTAGCAGTAAGCACCTCCTGGCTGGAAGGGGGCTGTGATGGTGTGGTGCAGGACTGGTGGGATGCTGGAAGGTGCTCCACAGCTTTACTCGCTTCCCAAACCTTTGCTGCATCCCCCATGGAGAGGAAAGAGTTGCACAGGGACACTCCTGCCTCTCGGCTTAAATGTGCCCTTTCTCAGGGCTTGTGTGCACTCGGCTGCCCAGGGCATTTTAACCAATCATGGGGAGCTTTCCAGCAAAGCCCTGGGAATATTTATACGTTTAGGAAACAACGCTTTCACACACGCAGTTTTTGGCAAGGGCTCACTGCTGAGCAGCTGCCTGGGCTTGGGCAGAGCTGTTTTTCGCGGGAGCCGAGGCAAAGCCGGCAGCTTTTATTGGCAAGCCCCGAAGTTCATGCCGTGAGGGGAAAGAGCAGGCGGCTGGAGAGGGCTCAGCGTCCCAGGGTCACCCCAGCATCCCAGCAGCCTAGGACCCAGCGAGCCAGGAATATTTTGTCCCCAGGTGTCTCTTTGGGTTGCAGAGATGACCCCACAGAGCAGCATGGGGTATGCACCCATGAGTTTTAAGAGCTTGTCCCAGCCTGCCTGTGGTTGATATTTTGTGACACAGCTTCTGCCAGAGCCCATGGTCCAGCTCTGTGAGGGGGGCAGGCATGCCCCCCCGGCCCGCGAAGGGCAGGGGA